GATTTGTCTAAACTCGAATTCATAAGACCTCAAAGAGGCACCCCTCGATGTAAAGTCCAAGGCCAACATACTCGAGGACTAACATTTCGAACAAACAAGTCCAAGAGACATACCCGAAGGCTACAGCCATACTAAATACTACGGACAAAATAAAGGTTACGGTCAAAATAATGCGGCTTGGAGACGTCCGAATTCCGCAATAAAAACAGGCCTTCGAATTCTCAGAAAACCGGTTAATAAAGGCTACCCTCGGCAAAATAATCAAAGGGCTTCGATAAAATCGACCCTCAAAAAACCTTAAGAGGTATCTAATTATTCAGATACAAACTTGTGCTAAGGCACTAAAAACAAAAGGGTTCCGATCGACACTAAACCCTCAAAAAAACCCAATGGGTAAAAAATGCATGCCAAGGCATAAAGAAATTTTTACTAAGTCTTTAAAGCCGAAAAGGGGAAATAATAGCCATCTCTTAAAGGCCATATCGGCCCAGCCTAAAAGAACCTAAGGTTTGAAACATCCAGAGTTCGAGACCTTGTTCTCACTCAACTCGGACCTGAGGGTCCCACGATCCCGAGCTCGCATAAAATCGACTTAAGCATAGCTCGAGGATTCACCAAAAAATTTTAAGAGGTATTCTATTATAAGATCGCCCATCGATTACTAAAAAGAAAACTAAGGGTTTGTCTTACCCTGAGTTTGAGCCGGTGCTCACCGGATTATTTAAGTTATCACATCAAAAACTAATTCATCACAAAACAAAAACGAAGCAGACTTCACAGCAAATCAAAGACGGAGCGAAAAGGAAAGGAATTCTTTATAAACATGAAAAATATTTACAATGCCCACATGGAGCCTTAGAAAAAACAAAAAAGAAAAAAAAATCCTAAAGGCCTAGTCTACTTTAGGGGCTGCATCTTCGGGAGCCACATCTTCAAGAACCTCCTCCTCGGGGGCTCCATCCTCATCTCCTCCGCTCTCGGAACCACTAGCAGATTCTTCATCATCGGAGATTAAAGCGGCATCCTCTTCATCTAAAGTTTTTGCCTTTGCGATATCAGCTGAGAGGTCAAAGCCACGAGTGTGCACTTCCTCGAGAGTCTCTCCCCGGGATTGTTGCCCGACGTGATCGACAGCACATGACAATTTGACTTCAGCAGCAATAGAGATCTCTTGTGCCCGAATGTTGGCAGCCTTGTCGTCAGCTCGATAAGAGGCCACAAACGCCACCGCCTCAGATTTAGCCTTTGCAAGTTCGGCGGCTGACTTAGCTTCGAGCTCCTCAATCTTCTGGCTCTGGGCCAAGCTTTCCACCTTCACATTTTGAAGTTTACATTCGACCGAAGCCAACTGGGCCCAAAGCGTGTCCATCTCCGAAGCAAGACGATCCATATGCTGCTTCCACCCTAGGGTCTCGGCCTCTTTCGCCTTGACCTCCTCTCGAATCTGCTCCACCAGCTCGCCCTTCTGCTGGGCCTGTAAATTTGAAGTGTTAGTCGCTAAGTCAAATAAATAAACAAACTCCCAAAAAGTTACATTAGTTGCTCAATGAGCTCGGTCTGTTCTCGATGAGCCTTTGTCAATTCGTCTCGAAGGTCCCTAATCTCCTCCTCTTTTTGAACGTAGAGGAGTTTGAGGCCGTCCCTCTCTTTCACGAGCTTTTTTATTTCGGCCTCACATCGGGCAGCTCGGCTCGAGACTTGGAGAACGCTTGTCGATGGAGCGTCACAGCCTTCTACAAAGGAAAAAATTCAAACTCAGAAAAACGAGAATAAAGCACAAACATAATTATGGAGGCAGGAACTTACTTGTTTAAGAAGACGCTGAGCCTCGTCAAAAATAAACAAAGCATCCAGGTCGGGACCATCTTCGACCCCCGAAAAGCATTCCCGGAAAATATCATTCCCTTTGTGGGTCATCCCCACGTCGGGAGTCTTCATGGCCCGGCCATCTCGGAACTGTCCTTCAGAGAACGCAGGGCCAGGAGGCGATTCATCTATGTTAATTATCCCATGTGATTCACTTGGGACATTCTCTTCTCTTTGGAAGGCCTCGGATTAGGCTCTTTGAGTTCACCCGCCAAATGTCCTCTAAGACGAGGTGCGCTTTTACCGCCCGATGGCTCGGGGATTCTGCTCGAGCTCCCCTCAGAGATTTCTTCGGTTCGAGATTGAACCGCGTCAGCCACTGCCGGTTCAGCAGCCTTCGAAGCTTCAGTGCTCCCCCTCTTCCGAGCTACCAGCAAGCAGTCGGCATCCTTTCCTTCTTCCTCGTCATCCCGAAGGTGTTGGACCGCTTCTGCAGATAGGGCTGCAGGATCGGCCCTAGGCTTTCGAGCCTTATTTTTCTTGGGCTTCGGGGAACTTGTTGGAGAAGCCCTTTTCTTCTCTTTGGTTGGCTTCGGGATTTCCTCTTCACCAGGCGGTGGTGGCCTCATAACAACAGTGTCTCCGAGGCCTACATAAGGGGAAAGTAAGTATTTTACAAAGATGCGTCAACATATGAACAAGGGAACTCACCATGGTTTTTAGCTTCCTACCGAACCTTGGCTAAATCACGTCAACAGCGTTCTGCATGTGAAGAAGTGGAGGCCAATTGTCGAACCCAACCTGCGAGATTCGGAATCGCACTAGGAAACCAAGGGGAAGCTGCGCCATCAAAAAGGAATTAGATCGAAGAAGAATAGAGAAAGTAGAGTAGTAAGCATCATCGATGGGGTTGTACTTACGTTTCATATTCCATTCCTCGGGGAATGCCATCCTTTTGGCAGGAATTATGTTGGAGGTCTTAATTCGGACAAATCGGCCCATTCATCCTCGGTCCTTGTCCTCATCGATGCTAGAGAATAGCACCTTTATGGGTCGACGCTGGAGCTTTATCAAACCACCTCAATAGAGGCGAGGGCTGTATAGCCTGATTAGGTGGTCGAGGATAAAAGACATCCCATTGACCTTGCCCGAAAAATACCTGAGCAAATTGACGATGCACCAGAAAGAAGGGTAGATCTGGCCATGGGTCACCCGATATTGGTGACAGAAATCGAGAATGACTGGATCTACAGGACCTAGTACTGGATCTACAGGAACCAGTGTGAAAGGATAAGTATACACGCTTAAGTATCCTTCCACATGAGTGGTGATGGCCTCTTTAGGGGAAGGAATCACCACCTCCTTATCCTCCCAATTGCAATCCTTTTTCACTTGCTCAAGATCGTCTTCAGTTATCGAGCAGATGTATCGGGACATGGGCTCGCATTGGCCTGGAACTGATGCAGGCTTATGGATTTTGAAATCGGAAGATAGCGCATGGCCCAGGAATACACTCCTCGATACGAGGTGGCACCGTCGTTCTACCACCGACCGGCCGCGATAATGAGGAGGCTTTTTCTTTCTAAGGAACGGTTTTAGATGTTTTAGCCATCACTGTTGAGAAACTCAAAAGAAGAGAAGAAGTTGATGTAGCAACAAGCGCAAATTGGAGGAAGGATGAACTTAGAGAAGATGAAGAAGCTAGTAAGGATTTGGGAAAGGTTTGAGAAGTAAAGTTTGTAAAGGTTGTGAAATTGACCTATTTATAGTGGCCGCTTCAACGGTTTGGAGAAGCCAATGGCCGACCATCAGCCGCCTTCAATTAATGGCCTTGGGAACTATGCAGACGCGACCTTTCAATCACTTCTATCACTGACGTCACGGGATTGACATAATGATCGAGGCATTAGAGGATCGAGGATCAAATCGTTTCTTATCATCTTACTCTAGGAAACGCGGGGACTATCTGTATACGATCAAAATCAGGTATGCCCGATTCTGTGGGCTCGAGGTTACTTCGAGAACAAGTTTAAAATGGACCGGGCGCGAGCCCGATGGCGACGTACAAGATTCAAAGATCAGAGTGCTCGATGAACACCGAGGCCACATGCGACCGACCTCGAGATAATACCGTTATGGTCTCATAACGGAAAGAGCGAGATTCCTGCAGTGGCCCTAAGATCACGGCATAAATTCCGGAACGGATTTGTACTAGGCTGTTAGACAGCTGTATAATAAGATTCCTTACTACAATTGGAAGTGTACCTTATTTATAATTCCCCTACTATATAAAGGGGATCCCAATCATTTGTAAGGCATCAATCATTGAGAAGAGAATATACATATTTCACTTTCTTGCTTACTGTTCATATGACTTGCCTTGTTATTTTATTGTTCTTATCCACCTACCTCGAGGTCGCCATTGTTCGAGGTCGAGGTCTGCTTATATGTTGGTTTGACTTACTTTACTCTTTAATTTATACATTAGATTCCTTGTTTATCAATTAGTAGTGGATTAAATCACATATCTTTAAAACCACAATACAAGTTTAATTGTTACTCGGATTTTAGGGTAAACAATCAAATAATTAAAAAAATTTATTTTAAAATAAAGCTAATATTATAAATTAAATAAGCTTTTTTAGAAGAACAAGTAAATAACTTTAACGTGTGACAAACATACGTGCATATAAGAAATGTTGATCTTTTATTAACTATTCGATATAGAAAGGTCACTTTGTAATTATTATTAATTCTTACTTCCTCTTTGAGAATTAAAAATTATAATTTGTCTTTCTTAATTATAATTGTTGAGAGAAGTGGAGTTAGTAAACTATGGTTAGCTAGCTATAGTTAGTTAATCTAATTAATGTGGTTAGTTAGGAAGTTAGTGTATGTTAAGTGTATAAATATACAGTAGGAGCTAATGTACAGTTAAGACAATTCATTATCATCTCTCCATGGAACAGTTACTCTTTTCCTCTTCTTAGCCTTCTCTCTAAGCTAACCTCCGATCTCAGAACTTCCATAACCATGGAAGCTAACATGGTATCAGAGCTAGTGTATATGATCGAAGCTTAGTTCCTTGCTCATCTGTGTGTATGTGTGTTACTGAAGTTCACCTGAAGTGTTTGAAGGTAACAACACCTCTGAGCTAGGGTTTTGCTAAATTTGACCTCTGGAAATCTTCATCAATGGCAATAGAAGACGAAACAAATGAGAGTGCTCCCAGACGAGCGAACGTACCAGCTGCTCCAACTGTTTTCCCTACGATAGATCACAATCACCCTCTATTTCTTCAACCGACAGATACTCCAGGTAGCTCGCTCATCTCTCTTCATCTAACTGGCTCGGATAACTATGCTTTGTGGAGTCGATCTATGAGAATAGGTCTGTTAGGTAAAAGCAAACTAGGATTTGTGGATGGTAGGTATCCAAAATCAAAGTTGGAACCTGAATTTCATGAGCAATGGGAAAAGGTAAATGTTGTAGTACTCTCTTGGATTATGAATGTTGTGCGTCCAGGTTTGTTAAGTACTGTAGTGTATGCCTCCAATGCACACAAGGTGTGGGAAGATCTGAAGGAAAGATTTGACAAAGTGAATGAATCTAGGGTTCTGTACTTGCATAGAGAGATCCATACACTAACACAGGGAACAATGAGTGTAGCTGATTATTTCTCGAAATTAAGAGATCTATGGGATGAGTTTGATGCACTCATGCCTTGTCCTGGTTGTCCGTGTTCAGAGTCAAAAGAAATATGCTGAGCACTTTGAATATCATAGCCTGCTTCAGTTCCTTATGGGACTGAATGACTCGTATTCTCAAGCTCGAAGCCAAATAATGATGATGACACGAGTGCCTAGTATTAACAAGGCATATTCTCTTCTTATGGATGTTGAAAGTCAGAGAAACCTGGCAAACTTTACGCAAATGGTGCAAGTAACAGAAGTTAATGACAGCACTGCTATGTATGGCAAAAAAATTCAAATCCTGGCACTGGACAGTTTAGAGCTCAGAAGAAGACACTGATTTGTGATTATTGCAACTACAAAGGCCACACTAGGGAGAACTGTTACAAACTAATAGGGTATCCTCAAGACTTCAAGTCCAACTTTAAGATGAAGAAGAAGGGAAGTAACTCAGGAGCATATGCTAATCATGTCAATACCAATTACAGTCCTACTATGCAAAATGCTCATAAGCAGATGCAATTTGGAGGTCTACAGGGTGGGACTGCTACTACACCTGGTTTCCAACCTCAACAAATACAGATGAATGCTGCACCAACTGGAGTCCATACTCAGCAACAACCAGCTCCTTACTTTACACAGGAGCAATATCAGCAGATAGTGCAGCTACTTAACAAGGGAGCAGATGAAGGCCCCTCTGCCAGAGCTGCAACTGCAGGTAAACTAATAGCTCTGTTATCCAATCATGTTAATCCCAATTGCATAATAGACTCTGGAGCTTCAAATCATATGACATCCACACTAGAAATGCTAAGTCCCTGTCAGTCAATTTCCTCTCAAAAGGGAAGTAAAGTTCACTTGCCAACAGGGGATGTTGCCTCTATTACACACATAGGAAAAGCAAGTGTGCTTAACAATCAGGATATCAACAATGTATTGTACATCCCAGAGTTTAAGTACAATCTACTGTTAGTATCTAAACCGACCAAAGAGCTACAGTGTCTTGTGGCATTTTTTCCTGACTTCTGTATCTTCCAGGATCTCTACAATGGTCAGGTGAAGGGGATTGGTAAGGAGGACAAGGGACTGTACCTATTACAAGGCAAGTCATTAGTAGGTGGTATATTCAGTCATGATCCAACTCAACCAAGGAATAAAACTGTGCAGCAAGTATCTGAGGTGAACTTTGTATATAAGTCTACTATGCCTGAGAATAAGTCTGCTTGTATGTCTGCTTGTATGACTAGTGAACACTCAGAATCTAGTGCACTGTGGCATAGAAGATTAGGCCATGCACCTATAGATGTAATCAAGAAGCATACAACTCTAAGTAGTTTGAAGGATTATCACACACACTGCACTGTATGCCCTTTAGCCAAGCAGACAAAGTTACCTTACAAGCTAAGTACAACTACTTCTAATGCTATTTTTGAACTAATTCATTGTGATGTATGGGGGCCATACAGAGTACCTACATATGACAGTAAAAGGTTTTTTGTTACTATTTTAGATTATTTTTTCCAGATTTACCTGGGTGTTCTTACTTGTTTCTAAGTCTGATACAGTGCTTGTCCTTAAAGAGTTCCTAACAAAGGTGAAGAATGTATTTTCCACAACAGTTAAGACTCTTAGAACTGATAATGGTAGTTAATTCTTTAATCAAGAAGTTCACAGTTTATTGTCATCCTTGGCCATTATTCATCAAAGTACCTGTACCTATACACCTCAGCAAAATGGAGTTGCTGAGAGGAGGCACGGGACTATCTTAGAAATGGCCAGAGCTTTGAGGTTTCAAGCTGCTGTGCCTTTGAAATTCTGGGGAGATTGTGCATCTACAGCTGTTTACTTGCTCAACAGACTTCCTTCAAGGGTCATTGGTGGCAAGTCACCCTTTGAGATGCTTTATTTGCATGCTCCCAACCTCACTCATCTCAGAGTATTTGGCTGTTTGTGCTATGTAACTTCACCCAAGGAGCTGGACAAATTTGCTTCCAGAGCAGTACCTGGTGCATTTCTAGGCTATTCCTCAACTCAGAAGGGATATAAGGTCTATGATCTTCACTCAAGAACCTTCCTTGTCAGCAGAAATATGGTGTTTTAAAAAGATATTTTTCCATTCAAATGCTCACAAACCTCCGGCACACCTATGTTTCCTGTTCTAGATCTCCTTCCTACAGCCACTGATATACATACTGCACCTGAATCCTATGATCCACCTATGAGTCCACAAATTGACACATATCCAACTGACCTACACTTTTCAGAGGAACCCCTCTCCTTAGTTCCCTCTCTCCCTCCTTCTCCTTTGCCAGAAGAAACCAATACCTCAGAGCACTCACAGACTCCCTATGTGAGTCTGAGAAGATCATCAAGACCTAGCAAACCTCCTTTGTGGTTGCAAGATTATGTGACTCCTGTCTCCACTCACACATGCCTCTATCCTATCTCCTCATGTGTATCCTACAATGCTCTCAAACCTGCTCACCTTCATGCCCTATCCTCCTACTCCTCTATTACTGAACCACAGTCATTTAAAGAAGCTGCCTCAGATCCCAATTGGATTGCAGCTATGAAGCTTGAAATAGCTGCCCTAGAAGCCAATCACACATGGAGTATTGTGGACCTGCCTGCTGGAAAAGCTCCCATTGGATGCAAATGGATTTTTAAGATAAAGTTCAAGGCTTCAGGGGAAGTTGAGAGATACAAGGCAAGGCTGGTGGCCAAGGGCTACAGCCAGAAATAAGGCCTTGACTACTCAGAAACTTTTTCTCCTGTAGCCAAGATGGTTACTGTGAGGACCATCATTGCATTAGCAGCTGCTAAACAGTGGGTTATCTATGAAATGGATGTGCACAATGCCTTCCTCAATGGTGATCTAGTGGAGGATGTCTACATGTAGATACCTGATGGGTTTGCTAGACAGGGGGAGTCTCACAAGGTCTGCAAACTACACAAGGCCTTGTATGGGCTCAAACAGGCCCCAAGGCAGTGGAACAAGAAATTAACAGAAGCATTGCTACACATGGGCTTTCAACAGAGCCACTTTGACTACTCTATGTTTACCAGACACAATGGAAGTGATCTAGTTGTTGTGCTGGTGTACGTAGATGATCTACTGATCACAGGCAACAATGTGATGCTATTAAATCAGACAAAAACTGATTTGTAGAGGAATTTCAAGATGAAAGATCTAGGTGAGCTAAAGTTCTTTCTGGGCATTGAAGTTGCTAGATCAAAAGAAGGTATAGTTATGTCTCAAAGGAAATATGCATTGGAACTTATCTCTGAGTCAGGTCTAGGGGGAGCCAAGCCAGCAGGCACACCTCTAGAAGTGAATCAGAAGCTAACATCTCAGGAGTATGACAAAGCTATAACAGGCACAGGAAGTTCAGAAGAATCAAATGCTGCACTCAAGGATCCAAGTAGCTATCAAAGACTTATAGGGAGATTACTCTACTTAACTATGACCAGAGCAGACATAGCATTTGTGGTTCAAGTCCTGAGCCAGTATATGCACAGTCCAAAAGTGTCTCATATGGAAGCAGCTTTGAGGGTAGTGAGGTACATAAAAGGAGCTCCTGGACTAAGACTCTTCATGCCAGCACAGAATGCAAATGAGTTATCTGCATACTGTGACTCTGACTGGGGTTCTTGCCTACAAACTAGGAGGTCAGTCACAGGTTACATATTGAAGTTTGGAGATGCTTTGATCTCATGGAAATCAAAGAAGCAGGAGACTGTCTCCAGAAGTTCTGCAGAAGCTGAGTTTAGGAGCATGGCATCATGTACTGCAGAAATAGTATGGTTAAATGGGTTGTTCAGAGAGCTTGGAGTTCAACTAAACTCACCTGTAAAGCTTATGTGTGATAGCAAGGCTGCAATTCAAATTGCAGCAAATCCCATTTTCCATGAAAGAACTAAACATATTGACATAGACTGTTATTTTGTTCGAGAAAGGATAGTGCAAGGGGCATTGAAAACTCAGCATGTATCAACTAAGGAGCAGTTAGCAGACTTACTAACAAAGGGCTTGGGCAAGGCTCAACATGATTATCTTCTGAACAAGCTCGGAGTGAAGAACCTCTTCAAGCCTTCAGCTTGAGGGGGAGTGTTGAGAGAAGTGGAGTTAGTAAACTATGGTTAGCTAGCTATAGTTAGTTAATCTAATTAATGTGGTTAGTTAGGAAGTTAGTGTATGTTAAGTGTATAAATATACAGTAGGAGCTAATGTACAGCTAAGACAATTCATTCTCATTTCTCAATGTAACAGTTACTCTTTTCCTCTTCTTAGCCTTCTCTCTAAGCTAACCTTCGATCTCAGAACATAACCATGGAAGCTAACAATAATTAATTTCATATTAATCAGATAATTATTTGGCAAAACAAATAATCTAAAATTGTGGATAAACATATTCAACTATACCCAAATGTAATGACGAAATGGCTTTCCAAACAGACTCTTAAAGAAGGGGATAAAAGATTAAGAAAAAATGACACTGTATAGCAGTTCTTAAAATAATAGTCGAAAAAATATATATTTGTTTTGTATACATATACATTCTATATGTTGTATACAAAACTTATACAAATTAATATACTTTTTCAACTACCGAATATAAATAGTTTCTAGCTCAGACAAAAAATAATAGTATCCCGAAGATTAAACTAACAAACAGGCTTAATAAGACAAACAGCCGTACAAAAGGTCTTCCCAAAGCTTCCTCGTAAGTCGTAACCAAGAAGTGGACCTTTTAATAATGATGTTCTTTTGTTCTAATCACTTGCCAAGTAAAACAATTTACATTAGGATGAGACTTTTGTATTAAAAGACCACAGATGGTTAACCGTGTGGCCTTGATTGACTCAAAAGGGCCACGCCCCTCAGTTCGATAGGGTCCAAATCTTTGACCAATACCAGTTTTTACCTGTTTCGGTCCAAGTAAAAGCAAATTTCTCTTCCAAACTGAGTCGAATCGAAATAATCACCCAAAAAAATAGAAAATATATGGATTTGAAGAATACTTTACGAAGACCTAGAATATTCAACGTTATGTCATTCAGTCATTGCAGATTTGAACAAATTGGTAGTATCCTTTTGCCGCAAAGTGCAAGCGTATGCTTTTTAAAATAATAAATAGTATCTATTTAAAACATTAATAAAAACGATACATTTGCCACAAAGAAAAACTACTTACAATTTTTTTTTATATTTAAGCATTATCATCAAAGGATCTAGTTTTTCTATGGCACGAATCCACCAATTGGTCCATTAAGATTTCAGATACTGAATGTTTGAAGCAAATTAAACATTTAGATATGTCGATCATACACTTCAAAAAAAGGTTAGACTTATCATAATTTCTAAATTCAAGTTTCACAATCCCAAACCAGAATAATATTTTTACACTTAATTGCCAAGCAAAAAAGAGGAAACTAAAACACTTTTGAAATGTGGTATAGACCTAAAATGAATAAAAATGATATAATACTCTTACACCTAACACTTAAATATTAGAGTTTACCTTTTATTACACTAAAAGTGTAATGAATATTTACACTACAGAATCGGTTGAAGCCAATCACAATTAGTTTCTAAGAGGCGGACCTACGCGGTGGGTTGAGGGGTCACGTGACCCCGTTAGCCTCGGCAAAAATCTTGTATATACATATTATATATATTTGTACATATATATGGGACCCTTAAATATTTTAAGTGTGCCCCCTAAAACAAAGTGATAGATGGGAGAAGCAGTTGCTTTGGGCCCTTAAATTCCCAACCTTTGTTGGGGACGTAGGTTCGAAATCCCCCTTTAGATTTTTTCCCCTCCTTTTTATTTTTATTCTTTGAGTACAATGTAATTTATATTTAATAGCAAATTGCTTTATCATTTACTTTTATCTCTTTCTTTTTTTTTTTTTTTTTGAATTCAAGTATAATTTAGTACTAATATATAATAGTTAACTTTATTAATATTTTAGTTCTTTAAATACAATATAATTTATATTTAATAACAAATTGCTTTTTTTTTTACTTTTATCTTTTTTTTATTTCATTTATAGTTTAGTACTAATACACAATAGTCAACTTAATATTATATATATATCTGTTCGGTGTTTTTTTTCTTCTTTATAATTTTATCGCTGGTGATTAGCATACAGTGGTGCCCCGTCGCGCTCAAATCCTGAGTCCGCTTCTTGTTTCTATAACATAAATGTATGAATAGTTGCAGAGTCAAAATTTTTACTGAGAAGGATCAAAATATTAAAAAAATAAATATATGAAGAAACCAAGGAGTCTCAATATGTAATATATATAAATTTTAAAGAAAATTTCAACAAAGGAATGTTGGTTGACGTTGGACAAAATAACATATTAAGTAATTCTTTTACAGACTATAAAATTCAGTGATAGTATAAATATTTTTTACCAAATTAGAGTATCTAATAATTTAAATCAAAATTTAAAAGAAAAATATTCAGGCATCTTAAAAGCTTTTTAGCGAAATGCATGTCCGTGCACCGTCTTTGTAGTTACTTCATCTTCACGATCCGAAAAAATGAAAAGCTGCAGACCCTATGTATTTCTTAAGAGAAGTTGATGAAATGTTTCAATACTGAAATAATTAAATAATTATTGCTATAATCGTTGTCAAATATGTAAACAATTGTTTGTGTTTTAGGATCATCTGCAAGAAACATTAGCCCTAAATACCCGTAGTTTTTTCATTTGGACCAGAAAGCAAACTAATAGCTTGTTTGGCCAACAGGTTCTCTCTCAAGATGAATCCCCAGCCCTATAAAACTCAAAACATAATACCACCCAAATCTCCCGACATTGATCACGATAAATCCATACACAACAATCTAGAAAATAAACCATCCTTCAAGGAGATGCTAACAACCTCTAATCCAATGATCTTTGTATCAATTGTAAACCAATCCGACATGGAGCTGTCAGAAACTGCCTCAGTAGAAGGAACGATCGAACATCCTATAATTCCTAACACACGAGGCATCAAAATTATCTCGTTAACAGAGGAAGATAGACAGCAAATTTATGAACCCTGGAAAAATTCTATCATTGTGAAGCTAGTGGGAAAA